TTTTTTCTCATATTCCTAAATATTTTGTTCTTTTTGGCGCTATTGTGAATGAAATTGTTTTAATTTCATTTTTGGGTTCCTTGCTAGTATATAGAAATATAATTTATTTTTATATATTGATCTTTTATTCTGTGACCTTGCTAAACTCCTTATTAGTTCAAGTAGTTTTTTGGTAGATTCCTTAGGATTTCAGTCATTTTTATACTTGGCTGTAGGATCTCGCTGATCTCTTCACTTGGCCGTAGACAGAAGTCCCACCTCTTTCTTTTAAAAATGTCCTATATTAATCTTCTGTGCTGTTAAATCACTCTTCTATGTGTAACTGCTTGTGGGTTGCTTTCTTATGTCTGTGTGAATGACTCTTTCAATAAATACCTATAACTGCTTTATGTTAATTATACAAATAGGTAAGTTGGTCACTCTTTTTCAGGTTCCTCCCAACAAAATAGACTATGAAAATAGCGAACTGATATTATACCAGAATCAGGTGATGAGAGAAGCAGATCTATTTCAGAAATCTTTGGAACATATAGAAACATATGAGAAACACATATGTGATAAACTTTTGGTGGAAGAAATTAAAGGTAAGTTGACTTGCTTTTTGGTTTTTTTGGCTTGTTTTTGGTACCGAAACCTAGGACCGAACACCAGCTTTTTCTTTTTTTAATGGCCTCAATTAAAAGAACAAAAAGTGTATATTCTGTCCTAACACTTAACACTTGTTATGTATCAGGCAGTGTTTTAAGCACTTTATTATTAGGCCATTATTAATTAATTCTCATAACAACCCGGTGATGTGGTCGATATATCCATTTTAGAGATGAGGGTGGATGAGGAACAGAGAGATTGAGTGACTTTCCTAAAATCACAGGTTAGTAAACTGGGTAGTGCTGGGTTTGAGTATAAACTCTATTCTCTTAAGCAGTATGTCACACTGCCTTCATATCAAATAAACACACACACATATATATATATATCTCCATATATAGTAAAATACAATGAGAATAGTAAACGGTGACACAGGTATCATCCTGGAAGCGCAAGAGTCATTTATTTTCATTAACAGGCTAATTAGGAAGGCAATATCCCTATGAATAGTTTTAATAATGTTCATCAACAAAGGGTCAAACAGAATTTTTCACAAACATTTACCTATCAGTTACCCATTCTCTGGGCAATACTGTATTAAGTAGAATGTCCAGCTAGAATAATAGTTTAGACCTAAGATTTCATTCAGTTGCAGGACCTCTAAAGCTTAATAAAAATGGTAGCTAACATTTTTTTTACTCTTCCTCTATTTCAGAGTATGGTAATTACTTAAACTGCTTTATTTCATTTAATTTTCTTTTTAGCACTTTTAAGATGAGTACCATTTTATAGTTGAGGAAAATGAGGCTTAGAGAGGTTAAGGACTTGCCCAGAGTCACCCAGCCTTTAAAGTAGTAGAGTTAGTTTCTTTTTTTTCCCCCCTGACTGGTAAGGGGATCGCGACCCTTGGCTTGGTGTTATTCGCACCATGCTCAGCCAGAGTGCACTGGCCATCCCTATATAGGATCCGAACCCACGGTGTCGGCGATATCAGCACCACACTCTCCCGAGTGAGCCATGGGGCCGGCCCAGTAGAGTTAGTTTCTAAACACATCAGCACATCTTTCTGACTTCAGAGTCCTTACTTTTGTTTTTTAAATAGACTTTATTTTTCATAAGTTTTAGTTTTACAGCACAATTGAGCAAAAGGTACAAAGTTCTCATATATCCTGTTCCTACACACCCACAGCCTCTCCCACTATCACGTTCTGTGGGTTTTGACAAATGAATAATGACATGTATCTATCATTATAGTATCATAGAGAGTAGTTTCACTCCCTAAAAATCCTCTGTGCCTCTCCATTCATCCCTCCCTCCCCCAGTCCCCTGGCAACCACTTATGTTTTGACTGTTTCCATAGTTTTGACTTTTCCAAGATGTTATATAGTTGGAATCATACAGTATGTAGCTTTTTCAAATTGGTTTCTTTCACTTAGTAATATGCATTTAAGATTCCCCATGTCTTTTCATGAGCCCTTACTTTTAACTGTTATACTCTACTCTTACTTATAAATGTATAATGCCTGACTAATTTAGTTTTTATTGTTATTAATATTAATACCAATATTGGTGACAGCAGTACTTTTCAAATTTTTGATAAAATGTGGATAAGTAATTAAATATTCTGGTCTCTTTCTTGTTCTACTGCCTGCAATTGATGGGAGCAAATAAAAAGGGAATTATTTTTCCTTCCTGATATATTATTGCTATTTCCTGATTAAATCTTATCTCTTTCAGGTTGCTGTTTCTGTGTTTGTCCTGTAGCATCAATAGGGAATAAAGTTATTTTTAAAAAGTAAATATGAGAGACGGCCCTGTGGAGCTCTCGGGAGAGTGCGGCGCTGGGAGTGCAGCGCTGGGAGTGCAGCGACGCTGCAGCGACGCTCCCGCCACGGGTTCGGATCCTATATAGGACTGGATGGTGCGCTCACTGGCTGAGCGCGGTGCGGGTGACACCACACCAAGGGTTGTGATCCCCTTACCGGTCACGAAAAAGACAAAAAAAGAAAAAAAAAAAAAGTAAATATGATATAGTGAGATGAATTCTAGTTAAAAAATTCTGCAAATTGCCTCATAGCCACATTCATTCATTTACTGCTGGTGAGGGTAATTTGGGGGCCGTTAATCTTGAATATATAGCCAATGCTCTATATTGCTTATAGTGACGGGTTATAGTATTATTTTTTTTTTTTTCAGTGAACTTTGCAGGCACAGAGACTATTCGTATTCACACATTCATGTCTTTTGTAGTCACTAGTTAGTGACTCTTTAAAAAACTAAAGATTCTTTAAAAAACTAAAAATAAAGTTAGAGGTTTTCACTTATTTTTTGAATATACATCTGTACTTATTTGTTCTGTGCATTCCTCTAGTAAAAACCTTTGCTTCATGGTGGTAGTAGATAACAGATATTTTTGGAAATGAAAAATATGCTGTTGTCTGTTATATCTAGGGTGAAAACTGGACTGGCCAGAAAATAATTGTGGGGGAATGGGCATGTTTATAGTTAAGTAGCAAATGTTTATGTGTATTCATTTTGTACCAGGCAGTGTTCTTTTTTTTTTAAAAGATGACCGGTAAGGGGATCTTAACCCTTGACCTGGTGTTGTCAGCACCACGCTCTCCCAAGTGAGCCATGGGCCGGCCCCAGGCAGTGTTCTAACTAACCACTTGCTCAAGGTCACAAAGCTAGTAAGTGGTGGAACAGGTAGTTACACCTAGTTCTAGAGCTTGAGTGATCTATAATATATAAATAGTAATGTAGTAGTATATAAAAACCACTATAATATGCTGCCTCCTCCAACATGATGAAAGCTGAAATGGTATGACAAACATTTCAGAGGGTTATTTGAAATAGATTCTTTGGAGAATGGGAAATCTTGGGGACAGGAATTTGGGGTATGTTCTTTTTTTAGAATCTCCCTCTTGGACTAGGTTTGCTTTTCATTATATCTGAGATGTTTAGATCTTTGTTCCTCATACCCA